GTTCAGGGGATCTCGTAGTCGAGCAGTCTCGACTAGAGCTTTCTTACTTGTTTTTCTGCTAATGTAATTTGTAACTTGAACTAATTAAAAATTTAAAATGTCACAATGGGAATCTTAATGCAATAAGATATCTGCTTAACTTTTCCTACAAACGCTAGAGTGAAGAATGCGGAGGAGCAATGGGTAGGTGAAAGCTTAAGATATGTTGGAATGAAGATTAGTTATAAATTTGTAAGAAGCCATTTTCAAAGGGATTTCGTATACTTTTAAATCAATAATAATATAATATATAAAAAATTAATATTACTAATAAATAAATGCAAAATTTGTAATTGTTAATGAACTTTTTTATTTTTTATTTTTAGTGCGATTTCTTTTCATATTTTAATTAAACTATACAACAGCGCTACAATAATAATATCTTAGGTTTTGATTCAGATTTTATATCTTCTAGCTTAATATCTTTGAAATGTTGTTAAAAACTTAAAAATGACTCAGCAAGCTAACCATTTAATGACAGCTCCTCTTGAATACACTCAGAAAAGCCTTTGTTTATTTTTACAAAAAAAAAAAAAAATCAAATAAATAAAAATCAAACTAAATTTACTTTACAAGTCCCTTCGTTTGGCACCACAGTCCACAAATTCTGCGTGGCACCTTGCTTGTAAAAAAAAAGAAAAAAAAAATCAAATAAAAAATACAAAAATATTCATTCAAAGCCTAGTAGAAATATTTTGGGTTGCAAAAATCGAAATTAATATGCATAACGCGTAGCGGAAAGAAAAAACTTAAGAAAATTTATGCAGTGATGAGTGAAAAAGGATGCCATGCGGCCCAAGTGTCTGGAAAATAAAGTCTAAACACGCTCACGGTCCGGATGGCAAAGTCAAATGTCACAGGGCGTGTGTGACAAGTGCTCTCTAATGAGCAGGAGGATACATTTTAAGAGGCACCTACCTAAGTATTTGTCAAATCAAGCCTGAGTCCTAACTAAAAATAAACGAAAAAAAACCAATGAAGCTCGAGCGGGACATTCCAGGCGAAGGCAAGTCAATTAAAAACAAAAAAAAAAAAAAGTCAAAGCAGCGAAAAGTACGTGACGCTAGAGATAGAGAAATGTCGAAGGAGTGGGAGTGGCTTTGGAGTTTTGTGCAAATATTTTCAGGACAGCAACTAAAAGTCGCAGACTGTCTTGAAATTAAAATTACAAGACGCTCGGATGAATCGCCTCACTAGCAGGTGAGGGGACGCGAATGGAGGGGGGCGGGAAGCAAACGCTGACAAAAGTTTTGAGGTAACATTTCTTTTACGATTCGCATGGGTGCCAGAAAGTAAGCAAAAGTAAGTCGGAAAAGTGCCACTCGTGGCGCCTCTGTCATTAATTTTGTATATCATTGAGTTTTACGATGCTCATAAATATGAAAACGTTTAACTCTTTTGCCAAGACACAAAGCCCTCTCCCACTAACACCCCCCACCCCAGCCAGCCCACTCACATTGTTGCCCACCTTTTTGGCTGCGTTTGCTCTTCATATGAGACAAACTAATTGTTGCTGCTTACGCGCTCTGCTCGTAATGTCTTTTAAAGCGGGGACACGCTCCCCACATGTTTTCACAATGTTTCACTGATAACACAACAGCAACAACAACAACCCGAGCAGACACCAGCAATTAGTGGGTTGATTGTGGGGCACATATCCTACTGTATTGTCGCTTTATCGCTGGAGCTATCTCTCTCTCCCTCTCCCTCTCGGTCTCGATCTCAGTCTTGATGTGCAACAGCTTGAGGTAATTTTCAACTTTTCTCAACGGCTCCTCGTTGACAGGCGTTTGCCTGTTTTGTTTGGTTTTAATTAAAGCCCAAAACACAAATTGTATACAAGATACTCAAGCACACTCTCTATAGAGGGTGGGCTGGACAAACTTGCTCGAGAAATTGACATTTAATTGTGGTTTTTAAAACAGTTCTTAAGTTGAATATGGTTTTAAATGAATGTATAAAGTATTTCCATTTATTATTCTTATTTTTATTATATGCCCTAAAATGAATAAATTCAGTCGTCTTCGATTGACTAACAAAATTTTAATAAATTAAATGAAGTACTTATTAAAAGGATTTTTCTTTTAACGAAATGTGCAGTTTAACCAGGCGTATGCTTATTATTTGCATATTATTGAGCATAAGTGGAGATACAATATTATGCTCGCGTAATGACAGGCTCTCTGATCTCTCATTGATTGTTTGAGATCTTGGTGATAGCTTATATAGATCTTTCCCAGACTAAGTTTGGATATACAATATCAGATACATAACATTTAAAATGCGAGCACAGACAAATCTAATGACTGGAAACGAAAAATGATTATCAATATAAATATTTCAAGTATAGATCACCAAAAATGTATAATTATCTATTTGACATTTTGTAAGCCGTTTGGCTGACTCAATTACAATTTTGTAGCTTTAAGCTTTGAAAAAAGAAATCAAGAGCATTGGCCACGCCCGGCTAAGACCAGTAATGCAGCTACCCATGTATTTCAGGTAGCGGAATTTCAAGCCGAAAACCAGTTCGGACCCAGCTTATAAACAAATCTAGGCCAATTACAGCGCTTGAATTTCAATTGAGTCAACATTAATTGTTCGAGTGGGTACGAAAACTGCAATTGTTATAAAGCCGTTGTGTATGGAGTGTTGCATGGGGATGTAGCTCAGATGGTAGAGCGCTCGCTTAGCATGTGAGAGGTACGGGGATCGATACCCCGCATCTCCAAGGATATTACAACCAACTTTTTGCTGCACTCACTCAACTTATTGTGCTTGATATATATTTTGTTGTCAGGCACTATTGAAAAACAAAGCAAAATAGCAACATGTCGACAAGTCGAAGCACAACAAAACACTTAAAACAATTAAAAAATAGCAAAACACATAAATTTTGAAAAGAGAACAGCAACAGCTTAACTAGCTTAGCCGCTGACAGAGAGGAAAGTTTGTCCTGTGCGGTGCAGAAATTAAAACAAAGGCTTCTCATAAATAGCACATCATGTATCATTTACAATACCCAAACCTTCCACTGGACCCACGAGTTCTCTTTGCTTCCTGTGTGCTGTGCGCTGCCTGCGGCTGCGACTGCGACTGCGACTGTGTCTGTAACTCACTGAACAACTGCCGCGCTCCCTTTGCTCCTGTTCGTCCTGGGACCATGTTGTTGGCTTTGACTGCCTGTTTAATTGCTGGCAAAGTTCTGCGAATGCAGGCGAGTAAACAAACATTGGCATATTGTGCCTGATTTATGTGCGACAATGTGTTCTGTTCGCCGTGTGTTGCCCTCCTGGAGTGGGCGGCAAATCAAATTACGCGACCTGATTGTCGACATGGGGGCGCCGCTCAGTGCACGCCGCCCCAGTCTGTGTGGCATCTAATGCCAAAGTCGTTTGGCAGTTACAAAGCGGCCTTTGAATATTCATTAATGCGCCAGCCTCTTGCCAGTGAAGAAATGCAGACGTCTGCATATTTGTAAGTCTATTGGCGGTAGCAGAAAAAAAATAAAAAGGAAACCCATTCCTGGATTCCGTACATATCCTGGAGATGCGGGGCATCGATCCCCGTACCTCTCACATGCTAAGCGAGCGCTCTACCA